TTACTTCATTACTTTTACCGATGACTTCAGTTGGTATGGGTATATTTATCTTATGCGCCATAAATTTGAAGCCCATGAAAAGTTTAAGGAATTTAAAAATAAAGTACAAAATCAACTAGGAAAGAGTATTAAGACTCTTCGATCAGATCGAGGTGGAGAATACTTAAGCATAGAGTTTGATTAACTCCTAAAAGAATGTGGGATTGTCTCACAGCTTATACCACTTGGTACACCACAGTGGAATGGAGTTTCTGAAAGAAGGAATCGAACACTGTTAGACATGGTTCGATCGATGATGAGTCATAGTGATCTTTTGACTTCTTTTTGGGGACATACACTTGAAACAACCGCTTTCACACTAAATCGTGTTCCATCTAAATCGGTTCAAAAGACACCATACGAGATATGGACTGGGAAACGTCCTAGTATGTATTTTATGAAGATTTGGGGTTGTGAAGCTTATGTAAAACATCACATGTCTACAAAGCTCGAACCTAAATCTCATAAGTGTATATTTGTTGGATATCCTAAAGAAACTAAGGGATACTATTTCTTCAACCCTAACGAGAACAAAGTGTTTGTTGCTCGAACAAGAGTTTTTCTCGAAAGAGAATTTCTCTCAAAGAAAGTGAAGGGTATAAATATTGAACTTGGAGAAGTTCAAGAGCAACAAATAAAATGAACCTGAAGATGAGCATGTTTCACAAGTTGTTGAGGAGCATTCAATAGATTTAGAAACACAATCACTGTGTAGATCCACAAGAGAACATCGTGCACCTGAGAGATTTGGATTTCTCGTTATGACACATGGAGATGTTCTTCTTATGGATCAAGATGAGCCCAGGACTTATCAAGAGGAAGTGTCTAGCCCAGACTCTGAGAAATGGCTTGAAGCCATGAGATCTGAGATGGATTCCATGTCAGTAAACTAAGTATGGACTTTGGTTGAACCACCTGAAGAGGTCAAACCTATAGGGTGTAAATGGGTTTTCAAGAAGAAAAACGATATAGATGGTAATGTACAAACATACAAGGGGCGATTAGTCGCTAAAGGTTTTCGACAAGTTCATGGTGTAGACTATGACGAAACATTCTCCCCTGTAGCTATGTTTAAGTCCATCCAGATCCTGCTCGCAATAGATGCATTCCATGATTATGAAATCTGGCAAATGGATGTCAAAACCGCCTTCCTTAATGGAAAACTTGAAGAGGATGTGTATATGACATAACCAGAAGGTTTTGTCTTTCCAAGAAATACTGGAAAGGTTTGTAAGCTACAGAGGTCTATTTATGGACTAAAGCAAGCTTCTCGAAGATGGAATCTTCGTTTCAATGATGCAATCAAAGAGTTTGGTTTTATCAGAAATAAAGATGAGCCTTGTGTTTATAAAAAGGCTAGTGGGAGCATTGTTTCTTTCCTAATCTTATATATAGACGACATACTCATCATAGGAAATGATATACCTAGTTTACAGTCTGTTAAGACTTGGTTAAGTGGTTGTTTTTCTATGAAAGATTTGGGTGAGGCAGCGTATATCTTAGGAGTTAATATCTATAGAGATAGATCAAGACGACTTCTAGGTCTGATTCAAAGTACATATATAGACAAAGTGCTGAAAAGGTTCAGTATGGAAGAATCCAAGAAAGGATTTTTGCATATGAGACATGATGTTTCTCTTTCTAAGGAAATGTGTCCTTCAACACCACTAGAAAGAGAACGGATGAATAAGATTCCATATGCTTCGGCTATTAGTTCTATAATGTATGCCATGATATGTACTCGACCAGATGTATCATATGCTCTAAGCATGACGAGTGGGTATCAAACAAACCCTGGTGAAAATCATTGGGTTGCGGTTAAAAATATCCTTAAGTACTTAAGAAGAACTAAGGATAAATTTCTTGTCTATGGAGGGGGGGAAGAGCTTAGTATAAAAGGTTATACTGATGCCAGCTTCCAAACTGACAATGATGACTCACGATCGCAATCGAGTTTTTTGTTTTGTCTTAATGGAGGTGTTGTGAGTTGGAAAAGTTTGAAGCAAGACACAGTAGCTTATTCTACAACAGAGGCTGAATACATTGCAGCCAGTGAAGCAACAAAAGAGGTTGTTTGGATCAAGAAGTTTATATCGGAATTAGGGGTTGTTCCCAGCATATCAGATGTTGTAGAACTCCATTGTGACAATAATGGAGCCATTGCACAAGCAAAGGAACCAAGATCTCATCAACGATCCAAACATATTCTTAGGCGCTTTCATCTCATTAGAGAGATCATTGATCGAGGAGATGTGGAAATATGTAGAGTACACACGAATGACAATATTGTTGATCCATTGACAAAGCCTCTTACACAGCAGAGGCATGATCGTCACATTGAGTCACTCGGTATTAGATATGTGAGTGATTGGTCTTAGTGCTAGTGGGAGATTATTAAAGTATGCTCAAAGACCAATACCGATTTTATTGAATAAAGGCATTGCCACTATTATTTTCATTTATATATATGTGTTTAACATAAACTGGAAGATAATAAAGTCCATATAATGACATAATTATTATTATTAAAAGATCTCTAGTCAAGTATTATTATAGGCATGGACAATAATAATACGCTTAAGACTAACATGTTATTGATTGATGACAATGAGTTGTCATTGACATAGAGATGTCAGAATTGATACATGATTATATTGTTAGAGAACAATGTATTGGATTGACCGACCATGAGCATATGTCTTGGATTATTATATGACAGTCATAACATTGCTCATGGTGATGACTATATGTATGATCCTCAGACTTGAGATCAATACTATCCCAACATATATTGTTGTATGTTTTGATGCAGCTAAACAAGCTCCGTAAATGGTTGCTCTATAAAGACTGTTATTGAATATATCTCAATATATGTAGTGGGTGTGTATGATTAAGATAGGATTTGTCCTTCCTACATAATAGGAAATATATCACAGGCCACTTGATTGAGTAAGACTAGAAATGCATGGCCATGCTCAAATAAGTTGATATGAGATATCATAAACTATTCGTTAATTAAAGTCTACTCTAGATATCAAGAAACAATAGATGGACTATACAAGTGTGACTATTCCAAGACTTGTGCCTATTCTAGATATAAAGGACATAAGGATGTAATACATAAAAGAGTAATCACCAAGATGATATGTCGAATCATATTTTCTTGTAACTTAAGTGACAATGATATATTGCTAGATGTCACTCATTGTATGTAATATTAGAATTGTTCTAATAATTACTGCTAACGTTACAAGAACCTACAAGGTCACACCCCAGGATTGAAACGAGCAAAGATGTACAATTTGTTGTACGTTACTAAAATATATATTTTAATAATCCCGAATATTTAATTTCAATTAATTAATTAATTAATTATAGATTTAATTAATTTGAAATAATAAAATCCCCAATATGATTAGGGTAACTTGGATATAAGAGGATTATTAAATTCCAATTAATTAAATATAGATTTAATTAATTTGAAATAATAAAACCCTAATATGATTAGGGTAACTTGGCTATAAAAGGGTGTGTTAGGTCTAGCAGCCGTTTTTGCAACAAACACACAAACCCTTTAGCCATTTTCTCTCAAAATAGTTTTGGGGAAAACAAATATTGCTCTTAATCGGGTGAACTGAGTAGAGGCCGAGACGTGATTTCGTGGAGGCTTTCGATTCGAATTGATCTACACCACCGTATTCATTGTTGTTCTTGCTGTTTTCAAGGAACCCACTGTAAGTATTCGCATCTCTTCCTCCCGATTTCGATTTTTCGTACTTGGATCGCTGGGGAGACTGTCGAGTTTTGTTTCCGCTGCGCCATGGGGTGCGTCGACGATCCCAACAAAACCATCAATGAAGCAACTAATTCAACTCTCAATTTCGTAAGTGTTAAAAAGAACATAAAGCAAAAGTGTAGTGAACGTGCCAGTCAACTCCGCCTTCATCAATGGAATGACCACGTGTCTGCCACCGAGAACCGGCAACATCACGATAACTCGTGTCGAGAAAATGGAGGCGTCAACCAACTTGAACTCTGACCCTGGGGGGGGGCGAAGAGGCCAAAGAACTCAAACCACCTCGGTCAAAACGACGACAGGAAAACCCACTTGAGCTCTCGGATTCGCTCACGACGGCGTTCAGACCGTAGCTATCGAACCGCTCACTTATTATATCGGAGCATTCCTTAGACGAAACGCTCCCCATTCAACTCAAAGACCAAATGCTAAGCAAACTCCCCAAGTTTAACAGGATTCTTGCCAGTATTATGGGTTCGTACGGTCGAGTTGAAAAGAAGAGAAACCAAAATAATAAAGATTCAAAGGAAAAGCGTGATGTCACGAAATTGGGCCTTTTCCCCACACTTTGGGCTATTTTGGCTATGTTGGGCCACATTTGGTCTTGGAGGTTGATAGAATAGTGTAGATTATTCTAGAACACTCAAGACTTGTACATATTCTAGAAGCATTCTAGAGTCTTCCATGTTAGGTAGGAAATAATGGAGAATTCTAGAGAATCTCTCCCTACCGTAGGATCAAATCAATCTCCACCGTCCATTGAGGAGGTGGGATGCTATAAATAGGTGTAGAATCCTCATTTGTAAATCATCCAAGAGTTTTAAGCATTCAAGCATTCAACAAGCTTTCTCTCTAAGTTCTTTCCTTTCCTCTTTGTTTCCTTGCCAATCCTTTCACTAGCACGAGTTCGAGTGAGGCTGACTTAGCTATCGCGAGAGGCGAAAAAGGAGCTAAGGCCGCACGAGGCTTATTGAGCGATTAAGTCCGTGACAGTTGGTATCAGAGCCGGTAAAGGCGTCAATATCATGCACGTGTATTGTAAGAATGGCCGGAAACTTGAACGAGTCGACTGTTGTTGAGGAACGGGGGAAGAGAAGTTGCACCCACCAACAAGAATAAGAAGAGGGACCAAAGTAAGGCCCGCGAGAGCGTTTTCTTAGAACCGATGGTGGCAGAGTTTGGCGAGAAGTTGGAAAGGGTCCAGCACGACTTCAAGACGTTGGAGGACCATGTCTTGGAGCAAGTTGACACACTCAAAGGAAATGCCGAAGAGACCAACAATGAGGTGGAAGCTCGGTTCATACAGCTAGAGGATATGATCCAAGTCGTCCGTGAAAGCATCGAGGGGATGCGGGAGGATTTGACGCTCTGCAAGAGAGCCGCCGTTAGCGGGGGTGCTAACCATGTCTCCACTCCGAGGGTCGAGTGCCCCAAGCCGCAAGGGTTCAACGGGGCAAGGGACGCCAAGGAAGTCGAAAACTACCTATGGCGGATGGAGCAATACTTCGAGGGAATCGGCCTTAACGACGAGGCAGCCAAGGTAAAGACCGCTGCTTTATATCTTTCCGATACTGCTATGTTATGGTGGCGTAGGAAACATGCCGACATTGAGCGAGGAGCTTGTCGGGTAGATATGTGGGATGAGTTCAAGAAAGAACTCAAGAAGCACTTCTATCCCGAGAATGTGGTCTACGAGGCTCGCAAGAAATTGCGGGAGTTGAAGCAACGGGGTATTATGCGGGACTATGTGAAAGAATTCACAACCCTTATGCTTCAAATTCCCAATATGTCCGAAGAAGATCTCTTGTTCTACTTCATTGACGGACTACAAGGATGGGCCAAACAAGAGATGCACCGCCGGGACATTAAAACGGTTGATGAGGCAATTGCCATCGCCGAGTCACTCGTCGACTTCCAACCCTACTCCCACACCAATGCGACGAAAAATAAAGATAAATATCCATCCAAAGATGGGGGAGAACGGCAGGAGAATTACCAAGGCAACCGAGACCGAGATCACCGAAGGCCACAAGCTAAAGAGGGAGATCGTGATCGACGTCCGGGGCGAAGGGACTATGAAGAGAAGAAAAAGGCCTTCGTTCCCAAAGGAGGATGTTTCTTGTGTAAAGGACCGCATCCGATGAGTAGCTGTCCCAAACTTGGTTCATTGTCTGCCATCGTCGATCGTCAAGACACAGAGTCTCAAGCTGAGATGGGGTCACTCCAAGTTCTAAACGCCTTGAAGGCCAAGCCATTGACACCAACATCGAGTAATGGGCTCATGTATGTAGAAGCGGTGATCAACGAGAAGCCGACAAGAGCCATGATGGACACAGGAGCTACCCACAATTTCGTGTCTAAAGAAGAAGCCAACCGTTTGGGCCTAAAGTACACTGAGAGCACAGGATGGCTCAAGACGGTAAACACACAAGCTGTACCACTCCATGGCGTGGTACGAGGGGTCGAGCTACGCTTAGGCACTTGGAAGGGCCAAGTAAACTTTTCTGTCATTCCCATGGATGACTTCAAGGTCGTTTTGGGGTTGGACTTTCTCTGACAGGTAACCGCTATCCCTATGCCTTCCTTTAGTTCTGTTTGCATCTTGGAGAAAGGGTCTCCTTGCATGATCCCCACGGTCGAGGCACCGAAAGAGCAAGGTCGAGATGCCACACAACTCTCGGCCATACAACTTGGTAAAGGCATCAAGAAAGGGGACATTACTTACTTGGCCATGCTAAAGGAAGATGACGAGATCGAGGAAACGAATGACCTACCATTGATCATTCGTGAAGTCCTAGAGGAGAACAAGGACGTGATGCCGCCCGAGTTACCAAATAAACTTCCCCCAAGGCGTGAGGTGGATCACAAATTCGAGTTGGAACCCGGTGCAAAGCCGCCAGCCTTGGCCCCCTACCGAATGGCCCCACCTGAACTTGAGGAACTTCGAAGGCAACTCAAGGAGCTAGTAGATATGGGAATGATTCGACCTTCGAAGGCACCGTATGGCGCACCGGTACTCTTCCAAAAGAAGCACGATGGGTCATTGCGCATGTGCGTTGATTACCGGGCACTTAACAAGCTAACCATTAAAAATCGCTACCCGATCCCTTTGATTGCCGATTTATTTGACAGACTTGGAGGAGCCAAGGTGTACACGAAGATGGACTTGCAAAAAGGCTACTACCAAGTTTGAATAGCAGAAGGCGACGAGCCAAAGACTGCATGCATCACCCGATACGGATCGTACGAGTGGTTGGTCATGCCCTTTGGTCTAACCAATGCACCGGCGACGTTTTGCACGCTCATGAACAAGCTCTTCCAACCGTACTTGGACCAGTTCATGGTGGTGTACTTGGACGATATCGTGGTATACAGTAATTCCATCGGAGAACATGTAGACCACTTGAGGATTGTGTTCAAGATACTTCGAGAAAACGAGCTGTACGTCAAGAAGGAAAAGTGCACGTTTGCCACCGAGGAAGTACACTTCCTTGGACATATAATCGATCACGGGAAGCTATTAATGGACAGGAACAAAATCAAGGCCATAACCGAGTGGGAGCCGCCGACCAAGGTAAGTGAGATGAGGTCCTTCCTTGGTCTAGTAAATTATTATCGCCGGTTTATACAGGGCTACTCAGTGCGAGCATCACCATTGACGGACCTACTCAAGAAGGGGAAGGCATAGGAGTGGTCCGAACAATGTCAGAAGGCCTTTGAGAACCTGAAGGCAGCAGTTAGCCAAAAACCTGTCTTGGCCTTACCCGACTTTACCATGCCGTTCAAGGTGCATACCGATGCATCCGACTTTCGCTATCGGGGGAGTACTAATGCAAGAGGGACATCCGATAGCATTTGAGAGCCGCAAGCTGAATGACACCGAGAGGCGATACACGGTGCAAGAGAAGGAGATGACGACCATCATCCATTGCTTACGGGTATGGAGACATTATTTACTCGGCGCACACTTCACCATCAAGGCTGATAACGTGGCGACGAGTTACTTTCAGACCTAGAAGAAGCTATCACCAAAACAAGCTAGGTGGCAAGACTTCCTAGCCGAGTTCGACTACACGTTGGAATACAAGCCGGGCAAAGCCAACGTTGTAGCCGATGCCTTAAGTCGAAAGGCGGAGCTCGCCACGATCTCTCTAGCCAAGGGAACCGTGTTGGAGCGCATCAAGGAGGGCGTTGAGCAAGATCCAATGGCAAGAGAATTAGGAAAGCTGGCTAGCGATGGCAAAACCCAACGGTTTGGGTAGAGGACGGTCTACTCTACAACAAGGGACGGCGAATCTATGTTCCAAAGTGGGACAACTTAAGGCGAGATCTTATCAAAGAGTGCCACGACACCAAGTGGGCTGGTCATCCGGGTCAAAAGCGCACTATGGCAGTGCTAGAGACGGCATACTTTTGGCCCCATATGAAGGATAGCGTAAAGCTTTACGTGAAGACTTGTCTTGTGTGCCAACAAGACAAAGTGGAGAACCGACAGCCGGCGGGATTACTGGAACCTTTACCAGTCCCCCAAAGACCTTGGGATGCGATCACCTTAGATTTCATTAGTGCATTACCCAAGTCCGAGGGATACGGTTCGATCATGGTCGTCGTGGACCGATTTTCTAAGTATGGGACTTTCATACCATGCCCCAAGGATTGCACTGCGGAGGAGGCTGCACGAGCATTCTTCAAGAATGTCGTGAAGCATTGGGGCTTACCAAGGAGCATCATTAGTGATCGAGACCCTCGATTCACCGGACGCCTATGGACGGAATTGTTCAAGCTCCTTGGAACCGAGTTAAATTTCTCCACAAGCTTTCATCCTCAAACTGATGGGCAGACCGAACGGGTGAACGCTTTGTTGGAGTGTTATTTGCGGCACTTTGTGAGTGCTAACCAGCGAGATTGGGCTAAATTGCTAGACGTCGCCCAATTCTCTTATAACTTGCAACGAAGTGAAGCCACAGGCCGGAGTCCGTTCGAGCTTGCGACCGGACAACAACCGCTCACGCCGCACACACTGGCAATGCCACTTGACGAGGGTAAGAGTCCCGGGGCCGCCAAGATGGCTAAGTCATGGGAGGAGAACGCCGACATCGCCCGCGCATGTTTGGAGAAAGCACGAAAGAAGATGAAGAAATGGGCGGACGAGAAGAGGCGACATCGAGAGTTCTCCGTTGGAGACCTAGTCTTTGTGAAGCTTTTGCCACAACAATTCAAAGCCCTCCGAAGCGTTCACAAAGGACTAATACGGAGATATGAGGGACCATTCCAAGTACTTGCCAAGGTGGGAAAAGTGTCTTATCGCTTAGACTTGCCAAGTACACTTAAGATTCATCCGGTCTTCCATGTAAGTATGCTCAAGCCATATCATGCCGACAAGGAAGACTCAAGCCGAGGGTATTCGCATCGAGCACCTCCCGCAGTAACCAAGTCTTATGACAAGGAGGTGGAAACGGTGCTCACAAGCATGACGGTCCGCAAGAGAGGAGTCCCACCGCGTACCGAGTATTTAATCAAGTGGAAAGGACTACCAGAGTCCGAGGCAACATGGGAACTAGCTGAAGACTTGTGGCAGTTCGAAGAACATCTCAAAGCGTACGAGGCGACGAGGATGACGCCAGAATAGGTGGGGGAGAATGTCACGAAATTGGGCCTTTTCCCCACACTTTGGGCTATTTTGGCTATGTTGAGCCACATTTGGTCTTGGAGGTTGATAGAATAGTGTAGATTATTCTAGAACACTCAAGACTTGTACATATTCTAGAAGCATTCTAGAGTCTTCCATGTTAGGTAGGAAATAATGGAGAATTCTAGAGAATCTCTCCCTACCGTAGGATCAAATCAATCTCCACCGTCCATTGAGGAGGTGGGATGCTATAAATAGGTGTAGAATCCTCATTTGTAAATCATCCAAGAGTTGTAAGCATTCAAGCATTCAACAAGCTTTCTCTCTAAGTTCTTTCCTTTCTTCTTTGTTTCCTTGCCAATCCTTTCACTAGCACGAGTTCGAGTGAGGCTGACTTAGCTATCGCGAGGGACGAAAAAGGAGCTAAGGCCGCACGAGACTTATTGAGCGATTAAGTCCGTGACAGTGCGCTCAGTTTCGTCAAGTGGCTTTGAAGTCCATATGGACTTTAAGTTTCTCTTAGTGGCGAGTGATAGTGAAGCGCGCGCGTATAGGGTTACTATTTACTAAGAAAGTCTGTGTCACGCGATTGGTTAGAAATGATAAAGTGCCGCGATTTAATGTGATTATTGTTTTATCAATAAATGTATGGATCCCCCAACTTTTTGACACCTTTTAATTTTGTCCATTACAAGTAAATCTAAAAAAGATGAATATATATGATTCTCACTTTTAATTGGGGTTGCTTTTGTTAGATAAAATCTCGGTCCATGTTTCATGACCAATTCCTTTACTTGATTAGAACCTAATTACCTCTCCTTTGTCAATTAGGGAATTAGCATAATTATGGTCTGATTGCAACATGGTTAATCCTGGAGAGGTAATTTTTATGCAAAATCTTTAGCTTTTCTGATTTAGAAATTAATATATCAGTGCCTTTGTTGAATCTACAATGAAAACAGCAAAATCGTTAGCTATTCTTTGAAAACATATACCTTTGGATGACAAACCTTCTACAATAAAATATGTTGGATGCCAACCTTGTATGATTCCGGATTAGATAAAACCCAAGGGATCAAAGAGAAGCTGAAAGACTAGAATAATTCACTTCAGGAGGGAGAAACAGTATCACACACAGATATAGGAGTGCCTACACTTCCGTCTCTTTTGGTCAGAAAGAATCCATTTTCACGTCCGATCCGACTCTGCATCCCAGGGTTGATCCAATGCTTCCATGAGACTGCAATGTATTACTAATATCAATTATGGGGAAACTTGTTTGGACCCGAAGAAAAAAAGTGAGAATAGTCATCAATACTTGGCGCTTTTCAACCAACTGATGGTATAACCCTATTATTTCAGTTTAGCAAAGTACCTCAGCCGGGTGCGCCCAAGATCACCTTGAGCAAATTCCTTGATATAAGTCCCAACCGCATGCATTCAAAATATGTCAGTGTAACCAAAAAAAAAAACACTACACTAGTATTAGACATTCCCATCCTATGCTAATCTCTTTCCTGACCAATCTGACCAGCATTTATTCAGAGTCACCATTTGTAACTCTGCCTGAAGCTTTGTCTAATAAGAGCATGTTGCAGAATAATGCATATGGAGTAGTCTGTTTGGTGTTAAATTTCATGAACAATCACTAGTCTAGTAAAAAATTCAAAACATGATATGGAAAATTTTATCACTAATAAAATTAGATTTTTTATATAGTGAACGTTGTGCTTTCATTTTCAGTCAAAACAGAAACAAGCCACAAAACTTCAGTTCTAGAATTCAACCATATTGCAGTAAAAAAACAAGCAAATGCCAAATCCATTGCAACAAATGTGACGCCGACCAAGTCATTTTCACATTCTGTCTTCTCTCTGTCTTGGAGCACATGTAATAATTTCATCAACTCTAAGAATCATCTCAGTTGCGGAGAGTAATACAGCTTGCTTGACTTTGAAGGATTCAGAGATTCCTAGCTCAGCCATATCTCCTACCTGTTAAAAAGTTGAAACATATCACCTACCACAGCAAGAAAGAAAAGTTGCAAGCATTCCATGGTGTTTGGTTGTTTACCAAATAGGCCAATATCATATCAATATTTGAATCTACAAGGATGAAAAATCTTTCATAAGGCATTCATGTATCTGTAACTATGTTAAGCAGTCATATCTTAGCTAGTGTACTTAAAATGGCCAACGAAACAAAATCTGCAGCTAATGAAACATGAAATCACCGACTAGACATTATGTTGGCCAATGAAACAAATCTGCAGCTACTATTATAATAATAAATTAAAAAAAAAACTACAAAAGATAAAGATATTTGATCCTACTTTAATTTTTTTAAATAATTCAATTTCAGCACTTACAGATCCAGAGATAACATCAATCCTTGCATTGCATCCCTCCTTGTAGTGTGCTGCACGAAGCTGAGCTACCAAGTCTGCACTGTCCAGACCAGCGTTGTCAGCAATAATAGTTGGGATGGCCATAAGCGCACGCGAGAAAGCTTAAATAGCATGAGATTTCTTCCCAGGAGTCTTCCGTGCCAATTCATCCACTTCCTTTTCCATTACCATCTCAGGCCATCCACCTCCAAGCAATACCCTGGTGTCATTGACTGTCTGAGACAGCACGCACAAAGCATCATGAAGAGACCTTTCAGCTTCGTCCAGCACATGATGGCTGCCATAAACAGAGGCACGTTATGGAGAATGCAAAATTATCAAAAGAGAACTAGAATGAGATGCTGCAATAATATAAGTCTATACCTTGCCCTCTCAACACAATAGTACAAGCCTGACCCATTTCAACACCAGAAAAATGAATCAACTTATCCTCACCAATCATAATTTCTTCAATAAGCTTGCAATGTCCAAGCTTAACAGATTCTGGGTTGTCAAAGGTTGAAGCGATTTCACCACCTGTTACCAAAGCCAAACGCTCTATCCCATCAAATTCAGCATGCTCAATAGCAAGTATGCCTGCATCCGCAAAGAGTTCTTCAGGGAAATTATAAATTAACAGCCTGTTAACAAAGCAGTTAATCCCATGTGCTATGATCTTTTGCACTTTCTCTCTCATCTTTTCCTTTTCAGCCCCTTCAATTTCAGCAACCTTAGACATTGAGTCAACATGAACACGTGCGCCATATATCTTCACTTTAACTGTATCCATTGCAGTATTTGCAACCAAATCTTTGCATTCTCTATTCGTTTTGGTTGTCCAAGGCCTATTTTCTTGTCAAGAATGAATCTGAAAGCATAAAAAATTATGTTTAAATCAACAAAATAAAGAACCCTAAGTGATGCCTTGAACCATTCAACAACATGTGTCTGGACTCTGTAGTCACAATACATTTTTATTGATGAAAAGTGCAATAAAATGGGATCAAAAGTTTTGCAGAATACAGCGGACAAAGGGAAAGGATAGTGCACTAGAGAACCAGCTGATTCCATCAAGAAACTATTATAATAATTATTGAATGGGATAAGAGGTTCATAAGAACTCACCCTTCATCTAAGAAAGAATCCTTCAAAGATCCTCCAGGTTTCTTGATAATTTGGATGGCCTCTAAATTTGTGCTCCCCTGGAGTAACAAATAACATGTCATAAAAACTCGATAAATAAAAATGGAAAAAGAAACTCAATTGAAGCCATAAAACAGATAAAAGGATAATTCCTAGCACATTCCTATATGAAACAGCATTGGAACACTTCAACTGTAAACTGTTAGATGCAGAACAATTATCACCTTTAACCTCATGACAGCATCAACAGCTAGTTGTGCAAATGCTCCTTATCCTGAGAGAGAATTTTGGAACTCAGAGTGGTCATTGCAATTTTCATCAAATCTGACTTGAATTTCTCTGCAATATTCAGAAATGTCACGTGCATGAGTAAAAACACATTCCAATAACAAGAACAACCACATTACCAATTTCATCAAGTCAGACATTAAAGAATCACATTCAATAAGGAACAAGAAACCTAAAACATTGGGCATAATGCAAAAGATAGAGGTATCATACAATAAACAAAAAAAAAATGAACGATCTTGTATCCAACAATCTTAACCTGCATTCTCTTTGTTATCCACAACCCTCTGCAACAAAGCATTACGAGCACATTCAGCTGCCATTCGATAACCTACTAAACCAACATATACTGTTATAAACTATGAGACGGGAATTTATTTGGTTGTTGGCACACCAAAAAATTGAAGGAGTTCCTATCAAAAAAAAAATGAAAGAGAACAAAACTAAACAGTCTATATACAAATGTAGCTACACTAGGGAGAAGATATTTACAAATAATATAGAAAGTGTGATAAGGAAAGGTTGACTATTATCAAAATTTAACAGATTTTCTCAGATTCATCTCTTTTTTTTTTTTTTTTTGAACTGTCAGGAAATGTTACTCCAAGACAGAAGCCAGAGACAGCATAAACCAAGAGGCAAGAGGCAGCATAAAAGAAGAAGAATAGGAAGCAACGTACTACATGAGCCCAGAAGAACCTGATATTATTGTCATAGGGTGAATCTTGGTTGCCACTAGCTTTTCTGCCTCCCTTAAAAGCACTCCAGCCAAAACCACAACAGAGGTTGTCCCATCTCCAACTTCATCATCTTGAACTTTCGAGATATCTGGATTTGGCATCAATGGTCATTATATAAAAACATAACAGCTATCTTTGCAACAACAAAAAAAAGTATTCATCCAACTCAGTTTTAGAAAGAAAAGTAGGCATGTTAGCCATAGAGTAGTCAAGAAAACAACAACAGTAAGGATACCAATTAAGACTTTTGCAGCAGGGTTGTCAATATGCAGGGACTTTAAGATGGTAGCACCATCATTTGTAACAGTGACTCCATGTCCTCTGCCTGTTGATTGCAAAATTTTATCCTGGCAGATAATTTAACCAACAATAAATTCACAATTTAAATAGAGAAAAGGAAACATTAATATCATTTTAATTTGCATGGACAGAGTGGAATATTACCATTCCCTTTGGCCCAAGGGTTGTCTTAACCAAGTCAGTAATTGCAATTGCTCCAACATATTATGTCTGGAAATAATAACAAACAAATATATCTTAAATTATTGAAAATAAGATACTCAAAATAGCACAAATTCAATAGAAGTATAATCATAGAATTCCAAATATGTACGTATTTTCCCCGTTATCAGCATTATATAGTTTCATATAAGTTACAATGACTTACCATTCTGGCACATTCCCCCTTCTCTTCAATAGCATCATCTTTAAGAATTTTCTCAATCTATCACATTTATCAAGAAAACATACGCAGGATAGAACTTCAAATACTGGAAAAACGAATGCTAAAAGTAAATCTAACAAACTGAAAACAAGTTATATTAGGCAAGTAACGCACCGCCATTGAAAATAAATATGAACAAAGTAGCTCGAAGTTTCAGTGCACGTAAAAAAGCCTGAATCAAGAAAAAAATTTATCTTTAATCAACAACAAAAATGAAACAAATCTAGAAGATCGAACCTAAAGAGCGGGATAATAAACCTTAGTTTGGTATAAAGTGAGCTGGTAAAGTTTGTATTCTGCATTGTCACTTCATTCCCCTCGTTTCAGTGAGAAACTAATCGAAATAACATTTGAAAAAAAAACCGTGATATAACTGCAAATTTTGAAAGTGAATGAAAAAAAGGTCGTATGATTCAGAAACCCTAGAAACCGTTGAACTGGCTATGTTATTACCTGATCTGATGCGCAATGTTCGAGAGCAATGCAAATACGGATCCCGCCGAGAACAGAGAACGGAAGCAGGGTTTTGGTTTTGGCCTTGGCGCTTCGGTTTTTGGCTCTACGCTATAAACTCGCACGGGTTTATTTTTTAAAGGTTATATTCTATCGTTAATCCTTGTATTATACATACGTTGTGATTTAGTCCTGATACTCTTATTTGACTAACTTCAATTTATTATATTTGTTGGATTTTAAAAAATTCAATATTGACACATATAATGTACGAATTATCCGATTAATTTTAAAAATAAAATAATGAGATTGAATAGTAAAAACCAATAATTAAATATATTAATCATATATTTTTTGAATAATTTCTACTTATGGGAAAGGGAAAGAAAATTTTGATCCTAATGGCATTTTAATAAGAAAGAGTAAAGGCCTAAGATGGTAGCCTTCAATGCTGAGGATTCAAACGGTCCTGATGAAGAAGAAGCTGGAGCTCAACTGGGGGGGGTCTTCGATGATTTTGATCTTGGGTATTGGCCAACTTTGTGAGTACATCAGCAAGACAATTTCCTTCACGTGGGATCCAAGTAACTTCCTTCATCCAAATCTTGTTTCGGATTCTTGCGTACTAAGGTTAAAGGGGAGTTGATAGCAACCACATTGTTCACCATTCGAACTGCTTGTTGGCAATCCGATTGAACTTGAAGTGCTTCAAATCCATGCTGCCAAACTAGTTGAAGGCCATAATAGATAGCCCAAAACTTGGTTTGAAGAGCGAAAAGGTCTCCCATCGCTTTGTGGAATCCGAAAATCCAATAACCATCTTTGTTTTTAAAAAGATCACTGATTGAACCAACTTCCAAATTATGAGATATTACACCATCCATATTGAGAAAAGTCTATCCAGGATAAGGAGCTTTCCAACAATTGAGCTTAACCTGCATCAAAGGGTAAGTAATATGAGTAATCGAAGTATCATTGTAATACTTGACCCGGTTGATGCTGGAACGAGTAATTTCAACGTCAGGAATTTTGTAAGAGTTGAAGACGAATTTATTCCTGCGTTTTCAAGCTTTTCAAATAAAAGCCGCAAAAAATATGATTCGATGGAAGCCCTAAATTGGGTGAAGACATATTATTATGTAACCAGCTTTTTATATCAGAGAGGAAGAAAGAATCTCTTATCGTTGGTGGAATAATTTACTTTCATAGGATAGAGATGGTCGCACAATCTCGAAGGGCATGGAGGTTGGATTCATAATCACTTGAGCCAGGAGTGGATGCATTAAGTGGATTCCATTCTTAAATTTTTGGATCCGTCACTGACTTTCTGGAGCATACTTGACAGTGGACAGAATCAGAAAATCTCCTTTTGGATCGCTTGGCATTGGTCAAGAGCTTCTCACGATAAGAAAGCCATAAGAAACAACGAATTCGTTGAGGGACATGAAGGTGCCAAAAACAATTTTCAAATCGAGGAGGTTGGATCCCAAGTAACAGCTCTTCTACTTTGATAAGTTGATTTGATATCAAACAGAAACTTGGGGATTACATTTCTAAACACGCATATCATTATTATCATTCGGATCGGGACAACAGATTCTTCTTATGCGTTGAACAACGGATTCTGAAAATAAAGATTATTGATAAGTATATCAATTATACATAATATAATGATGGATAGTTAAATTTAATTTAATAAGAATTTAACCGATTCAATCAGTATCGATACCGACAAGGTAATAGTGATACCATGGTAAGGGTATCGATATCAAGAAACATCGAATTTAATTTTGGTATCGATACCGGGAGGGGGTATCGGTACCCGGTATCGGTACCATAGTAGGGTAGTATCGATACCATGGTAAGGGTATCGATACCATGCAACATCGCTATTTTTGGTATCGATACCGGAAGGGGGTATCGGTACCATAGTATAGAAGTATCGATACCAGGGTAGTAGTATCGATACTATGGAGCCATAAATGTTAAAAATAGGTTGATATTGGTATAGAAATTTAATGATATGTTCTTTTGAGTATTGTTTAAGAATTATGGTTAAGAAATATTCTAACATTGAGTATGGTACATGTTTTTATGGATGCTTGAGTAGATCGGAACAAAGCCCCCAAAACAAGCAAAACTAAGGGCAAAGGCAAAGTGTCGGAGTAATCAACCTTACATTTTGGATACATAGCGAGGAAAGTCAGGTGAATGCATTTATTTTGTACATTAAGAGTTATAAAGATATGTTGTTAAAAAATATATATTGCATTGATATATCAGTACTATGTGTACTACAAGAATTTTGTGTGCAAATCTACAGAATTCATCATGGGTTGATGAATCATCGTACATGCACTTTGTGTGCAAACCCACAGAATTCATCATTAGTTGATGAATCACCGTACATGCACTATGTGTGCAACCCACGGAATTCATCATGAGTTGATGAATCACCGTACAGGCACTATGTGTGCAACCCACAGAATTCATCATATGAGTTTATGAATCACCGTACAGGCACCATGTGTGCAAACCCACGGAATTCATCATGAGTTGATGAATCACCGTATAAGCACTATGTGTGCAACTCACGGAATTTATCATGAGTTGATGAATTTTCGTATAGGCACTACTTGTGCATTCTAATAAATGAACATGAATAGAAATTGGATAAATGACCATAATAGTACCAATGGTGCAAAGTTATAAGGTTTATAATAAATTGTAAAGAGTTTGCTCGATATTAGAATTGTTACCCTATATTTATATTTATAAGTTGTTTATGATTAAGTTATGCCTCACTAAATAATTCATCATGAGTTATAAGGTTGAATATCAGCTGAGTAAAGAGATCATCGGACATCAAGTCAGAGTCGCCTAATCAGTAATAGTATGACATACCTGTCTACTTTTGATATATTTTAATTGGCATATAATAGGTTTAGTAAAACGTGTTGAAAGTATTAAAATGGTTTTCAAGTTTGGTAACCAACTTTGAAAAAATTGTTTTCAAAGTTTGGTAAATGTTTCTTTGAAAATGGTTTTCAAAGTTTAGTAAATGTTTCTTTGAAAAATAGTTTTTCAAAGTTTGGTAGATGTTTGTTGAAAAATGATAATGGGATAATCACAATTGATCCCTAGGTTTTAGGGTATTTACAAGATTAAGTTCTTAAGTTTCAACTATAAATACCCTAGCTCATTTAGCTTCAAAACAATCCCAAAAATCATTTCTTTCTCCCAATACTAGAGAGTTTTCTTGTGAGTAGTGAGTGTTTTGTAAACACCTGTAAATTTTCTATCTTAGTAAAAGATCTGCAGCAGTCCGGAGACGTAAGCACAATTGGCTGAACTCCGTTTCAATTTCGGGTATTATTTTTCCGCTTTTATTTTGCATTCTCACTAATCTGGTTATAGGGAAATTACTTGTACTTGGTTTATTTTCCAACAACTGGTATCAGAGCTTTTGGTTGTGAATTTTGTCAATTTTGCGAGGTTACTATTCATATGAATAGTGAATTTCATGAATAGTAAAATTTTGTCGACGATACAAATTTGTCGACGGAGGTGTTCTAATACATGGTGGTTCGCAAGAATTGTCAGAAACGATCCAAACAAAACCAGATTCGAGTGGGAGCGATGGCTGCAGACGAAGGGAAGGTGAAAATTGAAAAGTTCGATGGTGCAGACTTTGGCTTTTGGAAGATACAGATTGAAGATTTTCTGTACCAGAAAAATCTATATCAACCTCTCTCAGGAAAGCAACCAGAGGGCATGAAGAATGAAGACTGGGCTCTTCTCGACAGGCAAGCCCTCGGAGTTATCCGACTGACGTTATCCCGCAATGTTGCTTTCAACATAGCAAAGGAAAATACTACGGCGGGTCTTATGGCGGCTCTCTCCAGTATGTATGAGAAGCCATCAGCCTCAAACAAAGTGCACTTGATGAGGCGATTATTCAATTTGCGGATGACGGAAGGGGCATTGATGGCACAACACCTAAATGAACTCAACACAATCACAACTCATTTGAGTTCAGTGGAAATTGAATTCGATGATGAAGTTCGAGCTTTAATTCTCTTATCATCTCTACCAGACAGTTGGAATGCTACTGTTACAGCAGTTAGTAGCTCATCGGGAAATAGTAAATTAAAATTCGACGATGTTCGGGATCTGGTACTGAGCGAAGAAATTCGACGGAGAGAATCGGGTGAAGCATCAACCTCCTCAGCCTTGCACAAGGAGTCCAGAGGGAGAACTTCAGAAAGAAATTCAAATCGTGGCAGATCGAAATCCAGAAGGGGAAAATCAAGAACAGGAAATAAAGATTTTACCTGTTATAATTGCGGCAAGAAGGGCCACTTCAAAAGAGATTGCCGAGCACCGAAGAAAAATACCGGCGCACAGGAATTTGCCAACATGACGGAGGAGACAGGTGATGCCATGATTTTAAGCGTCAACAGTCTGATTGAATCATGGATTTTAGATTCAGGGGCATCTTTTCACTCCACGCCATGCCAAGAAATCATGGAGAACTATGTCAGTGGTGATTTTGGGAAGGTTCATCTTGCTGATGATGAAACCTTGAAGATCGTCGGAAAAGGAGACATCCGACTAAAGCTGCCAAACCAGACCACCTGGAAGCTGACAGGAGTGAGACATATTCCTGGTCTCAAAAGAAATTTGATTTCTGTAGGACAGCTTGATGAAGAAGGATACAGTACAACCTTTTCAGGTTGTGAATGGAAGATTACCAAAGGAGCACTCGTCATTGCTCGTGGTAAGAAGACTGGTACTCTCTATGTAACCTCAAATTTAGAGAATATCATTGCAGTAGCAGATGCTGATGGAAAATCAAACCTATGGCACCAAAGGCTTGGCCATATGAGCGAGAAATGGATGAAGACACTTTTGTCAAAGGGGAAGCTGCCGGATCTAAAGAATGTAGATGTCGGACTATGCGAGGATTGCATCTTTGGCAAACAAAAGAAAGTCAGCTTTGCAAAGATTGGTAAGACACCCAAGGCTGAAAAGTTATAGTTAGTTTATACTGATGTATGGGGACCATCTCCAGTTCCATCTCTTGCAGGCTCATTATATTATGTCACCTTCATCGATGA